TAGGTCAGGGGATATGAACACTCATTGATAAACGTTCATCCGACCAATAACGGGACTCATCTGTCCTGCTCTGCCTTAAGCCTCGACAGAGTCCCTGACAGCCATAACAGCTGGCATTTTAGGCGGGTAGTATTGCCGGGAAAGACAAGGGAGACTGAAATGCTCATTTTTTCCTTATTAGCCGTCGTCAGCCAATCAAAGTCGCGACCCTTTTGATCAGAGTTAGACACTAACATTTGAGCGACTGTACTTCGAAAAACAGAGGTTTTTATCGACTATACAGTGGTGCTGAGGATTAAATTCTCTGTAAAGCATAACTCTGTAACTGATCAGCTGGGCATAAATCTTTTAAATTGACAATTATGTGAATTAAATAATTAAATTACAGTTTTCATCAAATATTTCGCCTATGGGATTGCCTTCATCTTATTTTTGTCGGTACGTGGCTGACAAATGAGAAGGACGTCTCAGCCGGCGTGGCTTCAAACGTTGTCGGATGAAGAGATTTTCAGTCTGGATCATCAGCATGACTGTAGCGGTTGCTTGCAGACGTAGCCTTAAAGCAATCAAGAAAAGTGTTGCCCTTTCGGTGTCTGGAAGGACTGTTCGTAAGAATTTGTGTATTGGCTTACTTTTTGTCATTCCGTAAGGCGTTGACATGCAATCAACGTTGAGAACTGCTGGGAGACTATAAATGGTAAACTGACGCACGACTAGTCACCGAGCCTAACTACCCGCGTGCCGAGCTGGAAGAAGAAAGTGAGACCGATTTCATGAAATGCACGCCATAAGCCGCTGTCTACAAATAATCATGATCACGTTAAGCCCACAGTTCCCAGGTTTGAAAATATTGAAATATAGAGTAAGCAAAGTAATTAAAATTGGCACATTCATGTTGGAAACTCATCAACATACAGCTAATTCTGCCTTAATGAAGTGTACAATTATAAGCAGATGCATTTCAGGTATTCTTTATGTGGTTAAAAACGTAGAAAATGTACTTCAACTTTGAAACGATTTTCTCCACTTCTTACTAGACACTCTTCCACCTTACGGCATTCGGAGTAGCCGGATCAGTACGCAGGAATTTTCTTGTAGAAAATTATCTGGTTCTTATAAATTGGAAGAGAGGCATCACAAGAAATGTAATTT